CAAAATGGTCTCATGTACACCTTGTTCGAAATTCATACAACGGGTCTGAGCTTTCGCGCCAAGACGGTTTTCAAGAAGCGCGGTTCGATCGGCTTGCGTTGAATGAAAACAAAAGCAACCAACGGAACGGAACGGGACTGACAGAACTTAGCGGAAAGGCTTGAAAATTTCTCACTGGTGTGTAGTAGTTGATGCCTGTGATGTGCGACCTCGCTTGAGCGGGCCTATGACCATGTTCCTCAATTTCGTATGTCCATGCTCTTTCCGTGGCTACGTGCGTTTGGCACAGTTTAGGATGTAAAGCGTCTAGGTATTAGCAAGCTGTTGACCTTCATATGTTAGGCCAGACTCATCTCATACCTTTTCTCTTTGACGTTTTTCTCCATTTCGAATGTTGATATGCCGCATGTTAGAGACGAAAGCGCTTGCCAGGTGCATTTGGTAGAACACCTAACGGTCCTCAGCGCGTTTCGACTTGCCGTGACGATGTACTGAAGCGGCACCCCTTGTTGGCAGATGAACTTCCAACGGACCAGAAAGACTACAGAGACGGCCCAAGAATAATGTAACGAAACGGCACCTGGCGATGCTCTCAAAATGCCTTTCCAGCGGGCTAAAGGGCCACCTTTTGTCGATGACCTAGCTCAAAGGGCTCAAGAATGAATCGACGCTAGTTGAGGCGAGCTCAAAGTCGTCGAGATTCGACGTCTGATGAATCGCAGCGAGCTTCTGAGGGAGCTGCAGCGGCGGGAGGAGGAGGCCGCGCGGGAGCAGCTGCTGCTGCTGCGACGAATGCGCGAGGCGGAGAGGGAGAGGACCCGAGAGGCGGAGGGGGACAGGGGGAGGGGGAGGGGGGTGGCGGGAGAAAGCGGGAAAGGGGAGGCCGCGTGGCGGGAGCTGCAAGACGGGCGGCAGCAGCAGCTGGCGCAAGAGCGACAGGCGCAGGGGCAGCTGGCGCAAGAGCGGCAGGCGCAGGGGGAACAGGCGGAGCAGGTGTACTACGACTTCAGTCGCATTCGTCCTCGCGAACCGTCTCCTCCTAGGGTAAGTAGTGAGGATAGGCCCCCCTCCTAGGCGAACCGTCGCCTCCTAGGGTAAGTGGTGGGGATAAGCCCACGACGTAAGTCACGACGAAAGTTGAGGAAAGACACAGGCGAAAGCCACGCGGATGGTTCATATCCTCTGAGAGGGTAAGAAGCGACAGGGGGAGGGGGAGGGGGGGAGTGGGGGGAAACGGGAGAGGGGAGGCGCGGCGGGAGCTGCAGGACGGGCGGCAGCAGCAGCTGGCGCAAGAGCGGCAGGCACAGGGGGAACAGGCGGAGCGGATTTACTACGACTTCAGCCGCATACGTCCTCGCGAACCGTCGCCTCCTAGGGTAAGGCAATGATTTTCGAGTCGACTCAAAAGTCATTTCTAAATACACCTCGCTTGAGACGCTTCAGAAGCACGTGCTCTAGTACGCCCGCGCAACCGTAACGCCTCGTAGGGTAAGCAGTGAGGATAAGCCTAGGAGGAAAGGTAGGAGGAAAGTCCCGACGAAAGCCATGCGGATGGTTCATATCCTCTGAGAGGGTAGGCAGCGACACCATTCCGCATAGGTCGAGTCAATTTTTGAGTCGACTCAAACTAAGCCCAGGAGGAAAGTCATGGCGAACGCCACGCGGATGGTTCATACATATTCTCTGAGAGGGTAAGAAGCGACACCATTCCGCATAGGTCCGGTCCGCTCTCTCGCGTTTGACGTTCTTCAACGCGAGAAATGACACACTTTTCCTACCCCACTTCCCCCGCCATGTGCTCGCAGCTTTCTAGAGAAGCGCTGCCCTGGGTGCTGCTAGCGGGGGGCGCGGTTGCGGCAGCAGCGGTGGTGCACCACAAGCGCAAGAAAGGACAAACTCTCCCCACTCTCCTTGTCTAGTGTATCCCTTGTTCTCGCAGCTTCCAAGGGACGCGCTGCCCTGGGTGCTGCTAGCGGGGGGGACTGTGGCGGCAGCGGTGGTGCACCACAGGCGCAATAAAAGGCAAACCCTTCCCACTCTCACTCTCCTTGTCTCGTGCATCCGTCCCATCCCGTGTTCTCGCAGCTCCCCAGAGACGCGCTGCCCTGGGTGCTGCTAGCGGGGGGCGCGGTAGCGGCAGCAGCGGTGGTGCACCACAAGCGGCGGTGCCACCACAGCAGGCAGCAGCACGCCGCCGCGGAGTCAGTAGTCGGCTCCTCAGGCCCCCCTCTTGGCGCATGCTCCGCCCCCCTATTCTCCCCCCATGGCCCCCCTTTCTCCTCGCACGCTCTGCACTCCCCGCACGCCCCGCTCTCCGCCTTCCCCCCGTCCGCCTTCCCCCATGGCTCTCCGCCAAGGGCCGCCCAGCGGTCGCCCCATGCGTCCGCGCGCCACTCCTCCGCTTCTTCCGCCCGTTCCCCCGCCTCCTGCCCTGGCGCGTCCCCCCGTTATAAGCACGGCGCGCCCTCCGCGTGCAATCACGGCGCGCGCTCATGCACCAATGCCCCCCGCGTTATAGGAACGCAAGGGATAGGCGCGCCTGTGGCGGAAGCTTCCCCGCAGGGGGAGCTATCAGGGGCGCTGTCAGGTGTTGGGCCGCGGATCGAGGGGGAAGGGGGGCGGGGGGAGCGAGGCGATGGGGGAATATGGGCGGAAGGGGATGCGGAGAAGGGGAAGGGGAAGGCGGAGGTCAGGGGGAGGAGGTATGGAAGGAGGGAAGGGAGGGAGGAAGCAGGGGAGGAGGTGACGTCAGCGAGGATAGAGAGACCCTGTGTAGATTATGACAGTGCTGCTAGTGCTACTGCTACTGGTGCTGATATTGGTGCTGGTGGTGCTGGTGGTGGAAGGTCGTTCTTTGCTTCTGCAACGGAGTATGGTAAGTGCCTTGGCATGCGATTCCCGTCCCCCACCTTGTCTCCTCCCCCACCCCAGCCTCCACCTTTCTCCCATGCAATTCCCTCAGCATGCTGTGCCTTCCTTCTGACCCTCCTCTTCCCCCTCTCTTCCGCTTCCACCTCCTCGCTTCCTCCACCCCTTCTTCGTCCCCCCCTCACCTTCCCCCCTCCCCTCAGGCCTGTACGCGGACCACCTGCCCCCACGCTCTCTCCCGCCTGCTTTTGTGGAGGCGCCTCACAATGACTCTTCCCTCTTCTCCCTTCCCCCAGGCCTGAATGCGGACCACCTTCGCCCCCATGCCCTCTCCCCCGCCCATTTGTGGAGGGACCATACAAATACTCTTCCCCTTCCCGTTCCCCCTCCCCCCAGGCCTGTATGCGGACCATCTGCGCCCCCACGCCCTCTCCCCCGCCCACGCGCTCAGCACAGGGCCCGGGCGCGCAGCAGCCACTTATAGTTGTGCCCTGGCCTCCCGTTATTGTGCCCTCACAATTGGTCTTCCCCCTTCCGCCCCCCCCCCCTCCCCCCAGGCCTATACGCGGACCATCTCCGCCCCCAGGCCCTCTCCCCCGCCCACGCGCTCAGCACAGGGCCTGGGCGCGCAGCAGCCACCAGCGCAGGAGGGGGTGGGAGAGGAGGGGGAGCGGAAAGGGGACGAGGCACAGGGGGAGAAAGAGGGAGGAATGGGGAAGGGGGAGGCGCAGGGAGTGAGGGATCCCCGCTGCCAGGCGGGCTGGCGAGCTGGCTGCGAGAGGAGAGAGAGAAGGGGCAGGGCAGGCGTGGGGGGGTGGAGCGGAGGGAAGGGGGAAGGTTGGCGGATGCGGGTGGGCAGCAGCATGTGGAGATGGATGGGCAGATGGGTCGAGAGGCAGTGCTGTCAGGCCCTTCTCAGGGGAGAGATGGAGGTGAGAGGCAGGGAGAGGGAGAGGCACACAAGGAGCAGGAGACAGGAATAGATGCTGTGCTGTGTTTGAGTCGACTCAAAAATACGAATACATGCTGTGCTGGAGCACCTACCTTCCTCGTGCTTCTGCCTCCCATGCCTTTGCCGTGCACTCCCTTGCTTGCCTTTGCCTTGGATGTGAAATCTGCCATCGCTCTCCTCCATTCATCCTTACAGTACCAACAACACTCTGTGGACTCTCGCTCTGCTTGTCCTCGTCAGTACCAACAAAGTGACTCTCAACCCAACGCACAAGTCACCTTGACATTTTCTCCGGCTCATTCCGCGTCTCTCTTTAATCGCTAACTCATGCCTGCATCCATCGTTCTTTCCCGCATCTGTCCCTGCTGCTGTCCTGACAGGCACCCCTGCATGCAAGAGACACGCCCAGCTGCGCACAGCTTTGAGACGTTTCGTCATTGTGCCTCTCTCGTTTGTTACTGGCTCATGCCTGCATTCGTCGTTCTTTCCCCCAATTCTCACCACTGCTGTCCCCACAGGCACCCCCGCATGGAAGAGGCACGCCCGGCTGCGCACGGCTGCTCGCAACGCCACGCCTGCACCTTCTGTTGCCAGCGCTGCTGTCGCTAGTGGCGCCCCTGGCGCTAGTGCCGCCGCTGCCAGTGCTTTCACTGCCAGTACCGCTGCCCCTGTTGCTGCCACACCTGCTGCGGCCAACAGTCTGGCTGCTGCGGGGTCCAACCACGGCAGCTCTAACACTCACCTGTTTGCGCCCTCCCCATTCACTGCAACTCCCACGCCTTTCTCCGGAACTCCTTCGCCGTTTCCTGCATCTCATCTCCCCCCGGCGTCTCCTCCTCCCTCTACCCCACCGACTACTGTCGGGGGACTCACCGCACTCGCGCCCGCTCCACTAGACACCGCTGCTGCAGCTGGTGGTGGCGTAGGTGGTGTAGCTGATGGCCCAAGGCAGGAAGGCCATGTGCTGCACGGAGAGGTGTTGAACGATGCTGTGAAGGCGGGAGGCCTGCCGGCTCTCCATGGACTCTCACTCTGCTCGTCCTCGTCAGTGTCTTCTGCTCTGTTGCCTGCTGTTCACGCTGTGGAGGCAGGGCAGGGAGGAGAAAGAGGAAGAGGAAGAGGTGGAGAGGGAGGAGGGGGTGAGGAAGGAGGGGAGACAACGCCTCTTAAAGATCTGGCAATGGAATCTGTGTCTACTTCAGCAGCAGGCAATGTTGCTGCTGCTGGCGCTGCAGTCACGGGGACTGGGGCGGCAGCGGCAAACGCGGCACAGTGGCAGTTTGATGGCAGGGTTGTTTCGGCAGCAGCGGGAGGCACGAGCGGGCTTGGCACGGCACCAGCAGTACCAGCAGCAGCGATTGCACTGACTGAAGCTGGTGTTTCAGGCCAAACACCGGCTGCTGTGTTTCGGTTCGGGAGTGTTCCAGCAGGGAGGAGGTTTTCTGATTCTTTCTCCATGCCTTTTTCTAGTGGACGCAGAACTGCTGCTGCCACTGCTGCTTCTGCTGCTGCTGCTGGTGGTGGTACTGGCTCTGCTTTTCATTCTGCTGCGTCCCACAGTGCCTCCACTCCTCCTCCGTTCCTCTTCTCCTCCTCTCCCACTCCCCTCTTCTCCTCCTCTCCCGTTGCCCTCTTCTCCGCCTCTCCTGCACTTGCCTCTTCTGGTCTGACCAGCACAGTTATTCCCCCTCCTGGTGCCTTCATCAGCAGCAGTGGCGGCAGTGGTGGCAGCAGCAGGCCGACGCCTCTGTTCCGCAGAGAGGAGTTTCAGCGGCTGAGAGCGCAGTTGAAACGCCGGGATGAGATGATACTGGACATGCAGGCGCAGATGAAACGGCTGGAGCAGGAGAAGGAACGGATGAGGGGAAGGATGGGAGAAGGAGAGAGGAAGGCGGAGGGAGGGGATGCGTCTGTGTCTTCTCCTGCTGCTTCTAATGCTGGTGACGGTGCTGCTGCTTCCAATGGTGCTTCTGCTGATGGTCCTTTTGCCGCTGCTGCTGGTTCCGGTGGTGCTGCTGGTGTTGCTGGTGCTGATGGTAATGTTGTCTCTGCTGATGGTTCTGGTGGTGGTGCTGCTTGTACTGCTGCTGCTGGTCCCACTTCTGGTACGCTGCAGCTGCAAGGGGAGCAGCAGGCAGCATCGGAGATGAAGAGAATCAAATCGAATCAAATTGAAGTAGAACGGATGGAGGCGTTGCTTGCAGGTGAGAGGGCAGCGAGAGAGGAAGCCGAGGCACGGGCCAATCAGCTGAAAGCTGACCTGGAAAAGCTGGCTGCTGAGCTGGCAATGAAAGTGGCAGGCGCAGTGGAGCAAAGGGGAACGGAGGGGAGGGAGATGAGAGTGGGGGAAAATGAGGGAGAAGATGAGAAGCGTGGGCTTGTGCGTGGGAAGGAGGGATGGAGAGCAGGGGTTGGGGAGGATGTGGGCTCAAATGTCGTATGTGGCTGTGGATGCGAGAGGGAGTGTAGTAAAAGCTCTCACAGTGACCACGGGGATGGTAAAGAGGACAGTGAGGGTAGGAGAGATGGGACAGGTGAGGAGGGGGAGGATGTGGAAAGGGATGGTGATGATGATGGTGATGGTGCAAGCGATGTTGGGAGCGACGCTGCGGGGATGATAGCAGAGGCGGTGGCGGCAGTAATGGAGGAGGCGAGGGAGGAGATAGAGCAGGTGAGGGCTGCTGCACGCGCTGCTGCCGATGAGGCTTATGCTAAAGGGCGGGCGGAGGGCAGGGAGGAGGGGAGGAGGGAGGGGAGGGAGGAGGCGTGGAGGGAAGGGATGGAGGATGTGAGATTGGATGGGAGAATTGCGGGGAGGAAGGAAGGGAGAGAGGAGGGGAGGAAGGAGGGGAGAGAGGAAGGAATGAAGGAGGGAAGAGAGGAAGGAAGGAGGGAAGGCAGAGAGGAGGGGAGGGCAGAAGCAATGCAGATTGCACAAGAGGAGCTGGAGGAAGCTGCAAGGAAGGTGCGGGAGCTGGAGGAGCGAGTAGCTAGAGCTGAAGAGATGGTCCTGATGAACAGTAAAGAGAGCAGCACTGGGGCTCTTCAGGAGGGCACAATCCGCGTTATAAACAGTTCCATGAGCAATACCATGGTCAGTGCAATAAACAGTGCTGTAGGCAGTATTTTGAGCGATAACTCAAACGATACAGCTCCTGCTGTGGCTGCTTCTGACGTTGCAGCTGCGGCTATGGCGAGTCTCAAGTCCCTGGAGCAGCAAGTGAGAGAGGGCGAGGAGAGGGAGAGGGCGTGGCAGGGGAGGGTGGAGGCAGCAGAGCAGGCAAGAGACGCGTTGCACGCACAGGCAGTGGCTGCAGCCGAAGCTGCCACTGCTGCAGCTGAGGCGGTAGCAGCAGCAGCAGAGAGTGAAGCAGCGGCAGGGAGAGAGGCTGTTCGGGAGGTGGAGAGGTTGATTGGGGAGGAGAGGAGGAGGTGTGAGGAGTTGGAGAGGGAGTTGGAGAGGGAGGGGAGGAGGTGTCGGGAGTTGGAGGGAGTGGTGGAGAGGGAGAGGAGTAGGTGTGAAGAGCTGCGGAGAGAGGTGGAGAGGGGTAGGGAGAGGTGCAGGGAGATTGGAGAGGAGTTGAGGAGGGAGAGGGAGAAGGGGGAGAGGGAGAGGTTAATCATGCAGGAAGAGAGGGAGAAGGAGAGGGAGAGCGCGGAGAGGCAGGCAGAGGAGGCTCGGCTTGTGCTTCAGCAGTTTGAATGTTTGGCTGCTGCTGTGGTTGACTCGGTGGTGACGAGGGTGGCTTCTGAGCCGACTCAGGAGGCTCGGCTTGTGCTGCAGCAGTTTGAGTATTTGGCGGCTGCTGTGATGGATGCAGTGGTGTCTGGGGGTAGAGAGGAGGGTGGTGATGAAGAGAGGGGTCTGCGGCAGGTGAAGATGGAGAGAGGAGAAGAGAGGAGGGGTGTGAGGGAGAGTGAGGAGCTTATGGCGCGTGTGAGGGAGCTGGAAGGCAGGATCGAGGAAGCTTCTGAGAAGGAAAGGTATACGATGGAGATTGCAGCGGTTGCCTTGGAGTCAGCTGTGGGTGAGGCGGTAACACAGGCAGTAGCACGGGCTGAGAAGAAGGAAGTGGAAGCTTCTGAGAAGGAAAGGTATACGATGGAAATACTAGGGATTGCACTGGAAGGTTTAGTAGAGGCGGCAGTAAGTCAGGCTGTTGCCAAGGCAGAGGCTCGGATGCACGAGGCTGAGAAACAGGTTCGGGAGAAGGTACGGGAGGAGCTCTGGAAGCAGGTTCGGGAGGAAGTCCGGGAAAAGGTTTGGGAGGAGGTTTTGCCTGAAGCTGAGCAGAAGGCTCGGGAGAAGCTGAATGCTGCGTGGGCAGCTGTTGCTAAAGCCGAGGCTGCTGTGGAGGCTCGGAGTGCTGCTGTGGTGGAGGAGGGGCGAGTGATGATGGAGGTGCTGAGGGAAAGGGAGGAGAGAGTGAGGGAGGGAGAGGAGAAGTTGGATGAAGATGTGTGGCTCTTAGAGGAGGCTCTTAGGAGGAGGGACGAGAGCCTGTTGCTCTTAGCTAAGAGGGAGGAGGAGGTGAGTGGAAGGGAGGTAGAGGTAGGGAAAAAGGAGAAGGAAATAGCACAGAGAGAGGAGGAGGTGAGGAGGGGAGCAGAGGAGGTGAGGAAAGGAGGGGAGGCGGAGAGGGGAGGAGATATGGGGGTTGGGGAAATTGAGGTGGGGAGGGCAATGGAGGTAGCAGCTGCAAGAGAAGCTGCGCGGGCTGCTCATGCTGCTGCTGCTGCCGCTGCGAGGAGAGTGGTGGAGGAGAGAGAGCGGTGCAGAGAGCTTTGGGAGGAGTTGGAGAGGAGGGCAGAGAGGGAGGAGGAGAGAGCGAGAGGGATGGTGCAAGTGGGGGCGGTTGTGCTTGAAGCTGCTGTGGAGGAGGGTGTGAGGAGGGCGGTTGAGAGGGAGAAGGGGAGAGAGAAGGAGAGGGAGAGGGAGAGGGAGAGAGGGAGGGAGAGGGTGAAGGTGAGGCAGAAGGAGAGGGAAAGGGAGCGGGAAAGAGAGAGGGAGAGGAAGAGGGAGAGGATACGAGAAAGGCTGTGTATAAGGGAACGGGTGAGGATGAGGATGTGGGAGAGGGAGAGGGAAAGGAGGAGGGAGAAGGAGAGGGAGGTGGGTGGAGGGAGGTTGAGGAAGCATGTTTGAGTGTTGTGTTGGCTGCAGCTATAGAGGCAGCTGCAGAGCAGGCTGCTACCGCGGCTGTAGCAGCATCTGTAGCAGCAAAGGAGTCTGTGGCTGCAGCTGTAGCAGCAAAGGGGTCTGCGGCTGCACCTGTAGCAGCGAAGGAATCTGTATCAGGCTCAGGAAAGGATGAAGGGGGAGTGGGGCTGGAGGCAAGGAAATGGATGGACGAAGGGGAACGAGCTGATGATGATGAAGAGGGGGAGACGGAGGAGGCAGAGGGGGAGGAGGTAGGGGAGGGGGAGGCGGCGGCGGAGGGGGCCGGGGAGGGGGAGGGGGATGACGTGGAGGGGGAGGGGGATGACGTGGACAGCATGCTGGAGGCGCTGTTGGGATTGGCTGAGAATAGAGGGGCGGATGGGGAGGGCGATGATGGGGATGGGGCGGATAACAGGGAGATCAAGTATGTGGCATGGAACGGTGGCAAGGCTGCTGGCTCCTGGAGCCCTGGCATGGTGAATGGAGCTGTCTGTGATGATAAAGATGCCCTGCATGGCTGTGGTAGTGGTGGTGGTCATGCTGGTGCTGGTGTGAACCCTGATCATGATTGTGATGATGGTGATGTGAGTCATGATGATGAGGACGAGGAGGTGGATGAGGAAGAGGACGAGGATGAGGAAGAGGAGGAAGGTGCGAGGAAGCAGGTCGAGAGGAGCATTTTCGCAGCCTTAGAGGAGATGAAGCAGTGGAGCTCAGGCCTTTCCGCCTCAGTTTCACCTTCAGCTTCAGCTTCAGCTTCACACAAGGCAAACAGCACCAGTGCTGATGCACAGCCATGCTCCAAGAGCGATGGTTTGCAATGCGGCCCGAGAGGTGATTCGCCGTGCGGAAACAGGGATGCTGCACAGTGTGCTTATCAGAGTAGCGCCGATGGCGCCCTGTCACCGCAGTGTGAGGCAGAAACGGTCACTGTCACTGTGAGTGACGGCAGCACTCCCTTCAACCCATCACCACCACTGCAGCAACGCAAGCTGGCATCACAGCTAAACGTATCACCAGGGAAGCATTCCACCAGCGCCAGCAGCAGCAGCAGCAGCACCCTCTGTCGAAGCCAGTTGGGGGTTCCTGCCGCATCCGCCCCCCTCCCTACTCCCCTATCAGCCCCACAAGCCAAGCACTCTGCATCAGCATCTTCCTCCCCCGTCCTCCGTTCCTCCTCTTCTCCTCTCTCCCGAACCGGTGCGTCGGCGTTGGGCACGCGGAGGCGGCAGGTGCGGCCCGTACGTCTGTTTGGTTCGGGCGAGGGACGGAGTGCAACAGCGACTGAATCTGTAAGTGGCTTCCCTGGTCTCATTTGTGGTTTCCAATCTTGGTCCTCCTTTTCTTTTGCAGAGTGGAAATATTTTATATCTCTTCTTCAATCGCCCGATATGTTCCCCAAATGTTTGTTTCCGTTTGCAGGCCTCCTTGGAAGAGACACATCTGGACGAGATATCGAAGCTCTTGCAGAAGTTCAGTATAGGAGCCGCCAAGGAGGAAGGCCACACAAACTGACATGAGCTGACTGCTGTGGAATGCTGTTCCACCAAGCCTACCGTGGATCACTCCTCTAATTTATGTACTTAATAAGTGTTTATGTGCTAGACAAATGTGAGATCTCCTAAGCTTACCGTACGTGGATTAGCTCATCTTGTCACTGTCAGAAGTAGCAGTAAAAGGTTTAACAACAGAAAAGAGAGGGTTTCACTAGCAGCAGTTGGGATACATATAGCAAACCCTAACTGGGTTGTACCCGCTATAGAGCACCCCACTGCAGGCTAGATAATAACATTCTGACACACCCCCATAGCCAAAGTGGGGTGTAATCAGCACAATGAGCAGGCATAGCAGGAGTTCACAATAATAAGCAAAGCTAGAGGTAATCACAGCGGGCAAGTGAGGAGGAGGAGGAACTGTGGAAGGAGAGAAGATGGGAGGCAACGACTGAAGCTGCAGAGGCACGGGCACAGGAGCGGCTGACTCAGTGGCTACCGAAGCAAGGGCGACGGACTACTGGAGTGACTGGCTCCGCGGCTAAGACGAGCGGCAGGAGCAACGGACCCACTGGCGACTGGTGCAACAGGCTCACTGGCTACCGAAGCAAGGGCGACGGACTACAGGCGCTGCAGGCGACACGACAGCTACCTCCACACAACCTCCTCCAACTGACCCACACCCTTGACACACACCCCCTGCTGAACCCCTAACTCCACTCCCACGTCACCCCCCTAGCGCCATTCCCCTCGGCTCCCACACCTCCACCCCCCTCAGCGGCAGCTGCAGCAGTGGGAGACGAACAAGGAGGTGGGGAGAGGGAAGGGGAGTACCCACACCGCACACCCCCATGCTCGCCACCCCACACCTCACCACCGCGGAACGCACGGCGGCACGGGAGGAATGGGCAGCACGCGGAGGGGGGGGGGGGGGGGGGGTGGGGGGACGGTACAGGAGGGGCCGCACGTCTCTCCTCAGGGCGCCAAAACGGACGGGGCAGCGGGGGGTCGCGCGCGGCTCCCCAGGGCGCCGCGACAAAAAGCGCGGGGGCCGCGTGTGCTCCCCAGGGCGCCGCGACGAGCAGGGCGAGGGCCGCGCGCGGGTCCCCAAGGCCGCGCGACGGGCAGACGGGCTGCGCGCGGCCTGCAGGCCCGCGCACGGCCTGCAGGGCGACGCGACGGGAAGGGCGGGAGGCTGCGCGCGGGTCGCCCATGGTAGGAAACCGCCGCGCGCCTCGGGGCGCACGGCGGGCAGAAAACCGCCGCACGCCCCAAGCGCACGGCGGACAGAAAACCCTAAAATAAATTCGCACGCCACGGGGCGTGCAACAGACAGAGTAGCAGTGGAAGCAGTTAGGTGGTGGGCCCACCCACAGGATCGACCCAAGGGGATACATATAGCAAACCCTAACTGGGTTGTACCCGCTATAGAGCACCCCACTACAGGCTAGATAATAACATTTTGACAGTCACGTGGTGGGTGTGAAGCTAGTTTTGAAGTGTGTCAGTACACATTATTCCGGGTTTAGGATGCGGTAAAAGTGCGAATTTGGTAGGATCGTGCTTGCATTTCGATCCGCACAAGGCGAAATGATGCGCCCACGTCATCTTAACGATCGCCCCTATTTTTTGGGTTGGATGTTCCAGACGCGAAATTATGGACTTGTGTATAGAAAAACGTCTGTCGTCGAAGCACACATGCGATATTTGCAGCCCATATGGCAGTTAGCCTGGCAAATTAGTCGCTACCGTCATCGCCCGGATAGTAGACATGTATGTTTTATCTCGTAGACTACTAAAAATGCTGGGGTTATCTTGTATTTGGGATGGTTTATGGTGTCCTATAAGTCTTACTATAAATGGAAAAAAATATAACTACTCCGTAACATTTGCAAAGTGTGTAGAAACCACCCAGGGGCCAGATTCATTGAAACGGAACGACCTCAGTGGTGATGCATGCAGCGGCCCCACTTGCCACATGGGAGATGCATCAAAGCTGCCACTGCTGGCAAGATTCCTCCGTGCTAGCAGCATATAATGATGCTGTCAGCGTCGTTTTGCTACCAGCAGCGCATGGATGCTTCCAGAACGCTGCTGGCAGCACGATGGCAGGCGGGGGGCTGTACTCTACGAGGAAATTCCTCGTTGAGGAGCGGCTCCGCACCTTTGGAAGGGGCAGTCTGGCTGGGGGGGGGAAGTACTCAGCCTTGAGCTTCATTTGGTGCTCAAGGAGGTTGAGATCTCAACCTTTGCTCTCGGCAGGCTTAACCATGCGCAGCAAAGTCCCCGTAGGCACGTCCTCGCCTCGCCCTCACGTGCAGGTGAATAACTACGGGCGAATTAACTCGTCCGGTGATGACATCCATGTAGCCATGGCGAAGAATACGCGCAAGGCGGGAACATCTACCGCCGCCTCCGGTGCGAGCTGTGACGGGGACGACGGCGACGAAGAACACGGCGACGACGACGAAGAGGATTGGCCGAAGAACGGCCACGACGACAGTGCTTCGGGGGATGAAATAGAACTTGCCGACATCAAGGAGGACGACTGGTGGAATCGGCTGGTTGGGAGTGATGACGAAGTGGAGGAGTGGCGGGCTGGTGATTCGGACAACGACGGAGGTGTCGATGCTGATGGTGAGCACGCGGAGGCAGCGGCGCATGCAAATTGAGCGACGGATGCGAATGCGGAGGCTGACGACAACGCCAAAGCGGAAGCGAGGACGGAAGAGGAGGCAGATGCGGACGGAGATGTAGTTGCGCCCGCGGATGCGGCTGCGGATGCTGTGGCGAAGGCAGATACGGTTGCTGCGTAGGGATCTGCTGATGCCTGTCAGAAACTAACAGGCAGGAATGACTTCACTAGCAAGGAATGAAAGTACAAGTACCAAACCCTAAAAGTGTTGTACTCTATATGGGCTACCCCAATACATCCTACTCACATAAAAATAAGTTTTGACACACCCCCATAGGCAAAGTGGGGGAGAACAAGCGGTCACAAGACCAGTCAAGAAAGCAAAGCAAGCTCAGGGTGGATCACGAAGTCACTTCACACACTGAGCACAAGCAAATGGCCACAAGGCCAGTCCACTTGCAGAGTTATATAACATATTGCAAACAATGTAGTGATCACTACCTAGCAAGAGTAAGCATGCAGGTATATGTATAGATCACAGTACAAGCAAAGTCAAGCAGTGAGCAAGTGAGGCAAAGCAGGCACAAGGCCTAACATAGTACAGAAGCACACCAGACGGAAGTGCCTTGGTGGATATATCAGTAGTGTTGGCTCAAGTGGCCACGTAAGCAAGACGAAGCTGACCATGCTGCTGCAACTCTCGAGCAAGGAAGTAACACAGAGCGATGTGCTTCGTTCTGTGCTCCAGTCTGTGCTCCTGACACAAGGCAATGGCAGCCTTGTTGTCTACGTACAGAACTGGAGGAGAATGAGGCCGCTCTCCCAAGTCGGTTAGCAGCTATGTGAGCCAGCGTAACTCCTGTGCAGCCATGGCTCCCGCGTAGATCTCAGCCTCACAACAGGAGCTGAGAACAGAAGACGAGCGGGTAGACCGCCAAGAAACAGAGCCGGAGCCAAGGCTGAAGGTGTAACCCTGTGACGACCACTGCGTAGCCAGGTCGTCAACCCAAGACGCGTCTGAGTGCCTAGTGAGAACAACTCGACTCCGTCCTCCAAGCACGAGCCCCATGCCCAATGTACTGCACAAGTATCGTAACACCCTATTAGCAGCCTCCCAGTACTCTCGTCGGTGTCTCTAGGGCGCAACGTAGCGTGCCAGGATGCTAAGAGGGTACGCAAGGTCAGGTCGAGTGCAGGTCATTAGGTACATGAGGCAGCCCACAAGCTCTGGATACAGGCCACTCGGCTCTAAGGACTCGTCCGAAGGTGTAGTTGAGGGCGAGTGACCGGTAGACAAAGGAGTGTTCTGTGGCGAGGACCAAGTGAAGCCAAAGCGCTGAAGGATCTGCTGCACCATGTGTGACTAGAACAGGGTGATGGTGCACCGTGCTCGGTCCAGGGTGATCTGTAAGCCAGGATAGCTGTGCAGCTTACCCAGGTATGTGCACGTGTGTCTCTTCTGCAGCTCCGACTTCACAAGGGCGAGTGCCTCAGTGTCAGCAGTGGCAAAAACCAAGTCGTTGACGTACACGAGGATGTAGAACGGCGGCAGCGAAGTGTCGGTGCGGAGAAACAGCGACGGGTCTGCAGTCGAAGGAGCAAACCCAAGAGCCGCAAGTGTCATCCTCAGTGTGCCACTCCCGAGGCACCTAGCGAAGACCGTAGACTGGCCGCCGGAGGCTCCAGCGGGTACCTGCAAGAAACGACCCAGTGAAGCCAGGTGGACGGCGCAGCCAGATCTCCTCGTGCAGGCTGCCTTGTAAGACAGGTGTGCTGAAGTCAAGAGAGTGAAGCTCGTAGTCACGCTGAGCGGCAATGTGCAGCAGCACCCGAAGAGTGGTCATCTTCGGGGTGGGGGAGAAGGTCTGGAAGAAGTCAACTCCCTATCGCTGACTGAAGCCTCGTGCAACGTAACGAGCCTTGGAGACAGGCGGAGAACCCGGCGGCCGCTTCACCCTGAAAATCCACATGCCATCAACTATGTTCGCCCCAGGAGGGGGAACTGCGTCGACGTAGGTGCCTGTGGACTTCCAGGATGCCATCTCTGCGTCCATGGCCGTCTGCCACTGAGAGGAGTAGGGACCCGAAATCGCCTATGCATAAGTGTGCGGGGTCGAATGTTTGATGCATCCGGGTCTCCCTCAGGGGCAAGCAGCATGGCCACGATAAGAGGTACAGCGGCTGCAAGACACTCAAAGTCCTCCTACCTGTCCTCAAGGACGTCCGTGCTAAGAGCACACTCACCCCCGACGGACGGAGGACAGATAGACTCAGACTCAGCAACAAGACTAGCGGCGTAGTTGAGACGACAGGCATCAGCAAAGTCAACAAGCTCAGCGACTAAGGCAGACGCAGCAGCGGACTCAAACGAAGGGTCAGTGACAACA